AAAATCTCTTGAGCATTAAAAAATGCTCAAGAGATTTTAAAAAGGCCCAAAGCCCAAAGGTGTCCAGGTTTAATTTAAGATCATGCTGAGGAGGTGTCCCTCGGGATGATCTTAAATTGAGATCATAAGCTCCTTGAAGACAGGAACTGTCTCCTCTCTCCTTATGTTTTCAGAGCTTAGTAAAGTATCTGGAACATGAATTTATTGAAAAAATGAAATGAAAGTTAAAGGGATAATTCCTAGAACCCCAGAGTGAGAAAAAGACTTTAGACTCAAAAAAAAAAAAAAAAAAAAAAAAAAGACTTTAGACTCTAAGAATAACATTGCGCCTACCATTGAAGTCATGTATAAAAAGTGCATTCTGCAATTCCTGCATATAGTAGGCATTCAGTAAATTTTACAGAGAAGGGAGCTGAGCCCACAGGGCTGAAGTAATTGGCTCAGAATTAAACAGCTTAGTCACAGAAGTGACAAGCTCTGCATCTTCTGGTCCAGTGAATCCTTTTTTTCTATAACATTGGAAATGTGAGATGTGGGAAGGACCCTTGACCCCAACAGTAATAGGTTTACAAATAATTTCTTTTCATTATTCAAATGTACACAAAAATACAGATAATAGCAGTATAAGCCCATCACTCAGCACCAAAAATTACCAACTCGTTATTTTTTTTTTTTTCATGTATATCCATGTATCTCTCTCTCTCTCCCAGAGTATTTTGAGGCTAATCCTAAACACCTTACCAAATTCTGACTGAATTTTTCATGGAACTATTTTTCATGTGTTTAATCTCTAGAAAGAGTGGATATCAGATCCTCGAAGCAGGCTTTAGAATGTTGCTGAAGTGCCAAAACATAAGTAACATCTGATTTGCCTTAATCTCTAGAGATCAGTAGATTTCTTCCAATTTTTATATCTCTGCTGAGTTTTCATGCGTCTGTATTGTCATTTCTAAGTTTTGTACCCAGTTCCAATTTTGTGCTTTTCTTTATTTTACTTCATTGAATGACTTGTTTCTTCCAAAATCTTATCAGTCCTTCAAGACCCATTTCAGGAATTTTGTCCTGCCTAAAACCGTTTTACTAGTTGATTATCTCACCCGTGGAATGTGATAGAGTTTCTGGGCACAGCTTTACACTTATTCTTATTTAATTGTCTCACATGCAACAGTTTCACTTTAACAAAATTGCAGGTGCCTTGATGGCTAGAATTCTGTCAGAACATTTTTTTTTTTTATCTCCTCTCATTTTCCCCGCCCCCTTTCCAAGGTTAATGTCAATGGGGAGCCCATACTAAATTGCTCATCAGTTTGTTGATTAATATTGGTGCACTCACATTTTGGGTCTATCATGCACACTTCAGTAATATAGTTGAACCTAGGGAGTGGTCTTGCCAAAAATATCAAATTTAAATCTGATCTGTTTTCCTGATCCAACTTCCAATTTTCCAGAAAACAGAGAATAGAGGACTCCACAGAGGTACAAATAGCAAAATCTAGACTGTGGGAAACTATAAGAAAAGTTTCTTCAATAAATAAATTACAATGAGGAAAAAACATGAAGCAGGAGCATATAGATTTAAAAAGACCTGACAAACCCTGGCTGGTTTGGCTCAGTGGACAGAGCGTTAGGTTTGATTCTGGTCAGGGACACATGTCCCGGTTGAGGACTCGTACTGTTCAGGAGGCAGCCAATCAATGATTCTCTCTCATCATAGATGTTTCTATCTTTCTTTCCTTCTTCCTTCCACTCTGAAATCAATAAAAATATACACAAAAAAATCAATAAAAATAAAAGACCTGACAACCAACCACTCTGGGGAAACCTGATATGGATTCTGATCCAAACAAACAAACTGAACAAATTTATGACATTTATGTAATAACTAGAGGCCTGGTGCATGAAATTTGTACAAGGGGCTCAGTCCTTGCAGCCTCCACCTGCCTCGAGCAGCTACCAGCTTCGTCCGGAAGGTCATCTGGAAGGTCATCAGGATAGGTCATTAGCATTTTAGCTCTTTATTATATAGGATTAAGCACTAGTAAACAGTTTATGATGTGAAGGGTTTTATTTTTAATAAATTAAAAAACTGGTAAAATACATATATCTAACATAAAGTTTACCATCTTAACCATTTTTAAGTGTACAGTTCATTAGTATTAAGTTTACATTGTTGTGCTACCATCACCACTGTCCGAACACAGAACTCTATTCATCTTGCAAATTGAAACTGTACCATTAAACAATAATTCCATTCTCTCCTCCCCCAGTCCCGAGAAACCACCATCCACTTTTTGTCTCTATGAATTTAATACTCTAGGAATCTTATCTAAGTAAAAATTTGCATTTGTCCTTTTGTAACTGGCTTATTTCATTTAGCACATTGTTCTTACAGTTCATCCATGTTGTCACATGTGTCAAAAGAGTATTTTTTTAAGAGGAGTAATTGTTTTGTATTTGATAATAATAAAAAGAACCCTTGTCTTTTAGAGATACACAGTGAAATATTTCTGGATGAAATGATAGAAAGTCTGGGATTTGCTTCAGGATAGCATAATGGCAGGGAATAGATGGGGGTACAGATGAAATAAGATTGTAAGTTATTAATTATTGCAGCTGGGTAATAGGTACTTAAGGGGTCATTATAATATTATGTCGATTTTGATCTATGTTTGACATGTTTCATAATGAATTGTTAGAAAATGAAAAAGTATCCGTGAGAGAACATGTGGATTATTTAGCACTTCTCTGTCCTCTCCTGCTCTCTTCTTAGCAATGAGGACGACAACCTCTGCTCTCTGGCAGCCAGGCCTAGAGCCTGTGCAGAACTGTTGACACTGGCACTCTGTGCCCAGTGATACACTGCTGAGGTTGCATATAAATCAGGTATCCCTTTGCCACTCCTGTTGATGGATTGATCTGGCTTTGCTATTAGAATCAGGGAGGTGTTTAGAATCCAGACACACAAGCCAGGGGATTTGTCCTTGTGCTTGTTCCTTGCCTGCGTAGATTTACTCAGCCTTACCCTGTCGCCTCAACTCACAGGGGCCCCACATGGGAGAATGTGAGGTGACCCTCCCAACACACCCCATCTTGGGCTTGTCAACTGTCAGGGGGCTTTCAGTTTGGGGAGTGGAAGAGAGGGCTGGTATAAAACAGCTTCATTGTATTAAGCTCTGAAAGAGGCTGGCTCATCCTCCTGGGGAATAGAAAGTAAATTGCTTCCCTTTAGGAGTAGAATTAACTCTTTCAGGCCAATAGAATTAGGTTAGTAATGACTGCCCCGTTGCCTTAGGATTTCCCCAAGTGGTATTTTTAATGAGCTGTGTCTCTCCATTGCTACCAAATGACACAATTTAACGAAATTGACTGGCAACAACAGGTTTGACTAATTTTTTCCTCAAAATACACCAGGTGTTCTTGGGAAGGGATCAATTGACTGCTTGTTTCCGAACTGAGAAGGCACAACCTCATTAGAGGCCGCCAGGAGACGAACTCTCTAATCCTTATTCATTTTCAGAACAAGGATTGTAGTTTCTTGTACCCCAGCCCGTCAGCAGGTCTTTTGTGTTGCTATCAAGTCTTAGTTCCTTGTTTCCAATTTGCTATATAATTCCTCTTCAGGCTTGTAGCTTCAGAGAAAAGGAGTAACAGTAAGCAAGTTTTAACTGACAGGTTTTGAAACCTGAAAGTTAAACATCTAGACAGGTTAGCAGTTGCATTGAAAAGGCTTTAAAGAAGATTGTAGTTGATTTCCAACTTTGCAGGTGGCTGTGTTTATAATTGAACAGCTCTGGAATTTGAGGAAAAGGTCTCCTTTTATTTGCAAACTAGAAGCCCGATGCACAAAATTTGTACAAGAGTAGGCTTCCCTCGCACCCCCAGCTTCGTCCAAAAGGTTGTCTGGTCTAATTAGTTTATTAAACTTTTATTATTATAGATATCTCATCTCCCCCAGCAACACAGAAGGCGGGAGAAATAGGAAAAATAAGAAATAGTATTTTTTCATTAAAAGTAATCTTGGAAAGTTTTAAGGTCTTCTCCCCACTTTCTATTAAGCAGAAAAACAATTATCTTGTCTGCAACTGGCCATTTATTTATTTATTTTAAACAGTAAATTCATTTAAAAAATATATGTTTTATTGATTTTTAGAAAGAGAGGAAGGGAGAGTGATAGAGAGATAGAAACATCGAAGAGAGAGAAACATCATTAATGGGTTGCTTTCTGCACACTGGAGATGACCCCGAAACTTGGGCATGTGCCCTAACTGGAAATTGAACCAGCAACCTCTTGGTTCATGGGTTGACACTCAATCACTGAGCCACAGCGGCTGGGCTGCAACTGTCCTTTAAAGAAAAGCTATCTAGGCGGGAGAATTGATGCCTTAAGAAGGTTAGTCAATGGCTCCCACTTGGGAGATACATTTACTCTGTGAGACCATGTAGTGACATTTAGTAACCTGGAGAAATAATTAAACCAAATATTAACCCCCTGAAAGAGTTAGTTCCTCTTTTCAGGTTACACGGTTTATTTCTAGAGACCAAGTTACTTGTCTCAGCCACGTCCCCCAACCCCGTCATCACCCCACAGCAGCCCTGTGTCCCCAGTTCTCCTCTGAAGGGAGACTGTGCAGCTCAAATCAAATAAGTGGGACTTACTAAAGAATTAGGTGCCTTCAGAATCCCAGTTCCCTGAAGGAGGTGAGAGTTTGTTGGACATGAGTGCACAGATTTGTGATTTGCATAGCTGCTGTATGTTGGTTAATTCTTTAAAAAAATATATATATTTTATTGTTTTTTGTTTTGTTTTTGTTTTTGTTTTTCAGAGAGAAAGGGAGAGGGAGAAAGAGTTAGATACATCAATGAGAGAGAAACTTTGATCAGCTGCCTCCTGCAAACCCCCCACTGGGATGTGCCCGAAACCAAGGTACAAGCCCATGGCCAGAATCGAACCTGGGACCTCTGAGTCCACCGGCCAATGCTCTGTCCACTGAGCCAATCTGCTAGGGCAAGTTGTTCTGCCATTTTTCTAGATCTTTGAGTTGCACATCAAATCTGGGACTGATTACTCCACACTTGTTCAACCTGCCTGTGAGGTTCACAACTATTTTCCCAGCTCTGTGGTCATCAATAATTTCAAATTCGCCAATGTAACCATGCTTCATCATCACAGTCAGAAACCGGACGATGACTTTGGAGCACGGCCTAATGAGGACCTGGCGTTTGCCTCGCTTTTTGGCATTGTTGATACTCTTCAGAGAATCAGCCAGGACATTTATGCTCACCATTGTGGCGGCACAGACCGATGGCGGAAAGAGAGCTATTTTTTAAATATATTTTATTGATTTTTACAGAGAGAAAGAGAGAGGGATAGAGAGTTAGAAACATCGAGTAGAGAATCATCGATCAGCTGCCTCTTGCACACTCCCTTCTGGGGATGTGCCCGCAACCAAGGTACATTCCCTTGACCAGAATCGAACTCGGGAGCTTTCAGTCTGCAGACCGACACTGTGGAACTGGTTTCGGTGGGCTGATTAATTCTTAATAAAATCATACGTCCATGGATAGGATACACACCCCTGGGAGGTAGAGCTCTCCGTGGAAGAAGATTCAGTGATGCTGTAGCTTAGGGCCTGGCAGCTATTGTCATCTTTACTGCTGTTATGACAGTCTCTCCCTCTTTGGACCCTGCCTCCCTTTCTATCAATGAAATCCTCATATTTCTCTGGGAAGTCTCTACAGATTCCCCCTCACTAGTTCCTGTCATTGTTTGTAGGTGCCATTGTTAAAGCCCTTATTCTATTAAAGCTGCTTGTTACCCTGCTTGGACAGCTGTTGTAGGAATTAAAGTAATGTATGTGCCTGCCACAGAGGAGGCAATCACTGAAATGTAACTTCATTTTACTTGCACAGTATCTTTCTCAGTACCAGTAGGTACAATTTATCCAACAAATGTTCACTGAATGTCTACTATAAGCAATTATCTCATGCAATCCTTACAACCATTCCAGGAAGTAGCCCCTGTTACACAATGGAGGAGGAGGTTTGCAGTGGTCAAGTAAGTTGCCCAAAGCAACTAGAAGTAAGGGTGAAGCCTTAGCTAGTTTGGCTCAGTGGATAGAGTGTCAGCCTGAAGACTGAAGGGTCCCAGGTTCGATTCCAATCAAGGGCAGATGCCCAGGTTGCAGACTTGATCCCCAGTAGGAGTGTTCAGGAGGCAACAGATCAATGATTCTCATCATTGATGTTTCTATCTCTCTCTCCCACTCCCTTCCTCTCTGAAATCAATAAAAATATATGTAAAGTGCAATTAAGGATGAAGAGCTAGGATTCAAACTCAGGTCTGTCTGTGAGAGCTGAGACGATATGTTATAGATCATAGCATTCTTAGAACCTAGAACAGATCTTACCATTTGCAAAATGTTCCATAAATATCGCATGACGTCATTGGAGCCAGCTATCATTCTTCACTCTACTAAGATAAAGAGGGCCCAGTGAGTGTTTAGTCAGCACTCCATGCTTTAAAGAACAGGCTGGCTGTTCTCTGATTCAGTCCTCATACTTCCCTGTTCTGCTCTGGATCATGCACAAGGGGCTGGTCTGCAAATGGCCTTTCCCAGATTCCCTTGCCAATTGGCTTCCAGCGAGGGTCAGCCAGTGGGAGGCTTCTCTGCAGGAGTTGCAACCATGGAGTTGGTGCGATCATGGCCAAGCATGCTGCCTACAACAGAGACGAAGGGAAGAAACGCTCTGACTCCTTCTTTCCTCCTGCTCTCCGATCTCTGCCCAGTGCCTCCCATTGACTAAACCTAGCTGGATGTCAGTTGGCAAGGGACATGAGAAATGGACTTTGCAACAGGCCGTTTTGGTGATTCAGAACAAAGCAGCAATGAATGGATCTAAGAGCAATCGGGCAAACTCTCCCACCTTGTTTCTAGGTCAAAGTTTCTTCCAATCAAAAACTTTGCTCAGGTACAAAAGGTCCCAAACTGGGAGTGGCTCTCTGGGAAAGCAGATGGTGAGGGTGGGGATGGAGAGCAGAAAACCTCTTTTTCTGTGTTCTGTTACTGGCATACTTCACTTTTGCTGGTGGATTGGGGCTTGTGGAGAAAGTAAAAATATACCTTTCTTTTTTTTTTTTTTTTTAATGTTATTATTAACTTCAGAGAGAGGAAGATTGTGCCTTGACTGGAAATCAAACCATGACCTCCTGGTTCATGGGTTGTAGCTCATTGAGCTACACTGGCCGGGCTCAAAATATGTTTTAATATGTGCTTTTAACTTGCCCATTAAAAAAATATCCTGTGAAAAATGGCCTCTTATTCTGAAGAGTATTCACTTAAGGCTCCCACCAGAGTGGCCACGAGAACATTGTTCATGGATTTGTGGCAGAATGAGACTTGTCAATAGCTCGCTTAATAAATATAGATTAAAAAGATATCCAATATCTGCCTTAAACCCACAAAGGAATATAAATTTGCAGCAAGAGATCAAGACTCGAACGAAGGCAGCAGGGGATGTCTTTAAAGAGAATTCCCTGTTGCAACTTGATGATGAAAATCAGTCTTAACTGAGCATTAAATTTTTTCTGTGGGTTCAAAACCCATCCCTAAAGTTTTATTCCAGGAAGGTGGATCATGATAGCCTTTGATGCTGTAAATCTAATATTGGGTAGAGTTAGTAAAAGATATTTTTGTGAATAAACGTTTTGCTTATTTTAAGAGAGGTGTTATAAAAAACAAAAAAGAACCTGAAAAATTACCAATTTTGCAGAATCCCTTGATAAAAACTAATGTGGGGAAATACATGGGATTCATAAGTAGATAGTATTTATTTGTTAAAAAAAACCTTTTTCATTCTAAAAAAAGCACGCATATTTTCTTAGCAAAATTCTGTGCATTGAATAGGGAAAGGAATCTTTTTATGTAAAAAAAAAAAAGAAAGAAAAAGAAAGGTGAAAAAGGAAGGAAGGAAAAAAGGAAGGAAGGAAAAACAAAACTCTTTCCTTGATGAGGTAGCAGAAGCCTATTTAATGCAGGACAACATTTTAGAGGCACATGGCAGGTTCATAAAACTTGTGCAGTTTTTCTTTCCTTTTTTCTCATTGATTTTCCTTTTTGGCCTGCTCTGGGCCTTCCAAGACTGGCTTACCTTGTCAAATAAGCCAGACTTTATGAGTGTTTACCTTTGATTCCACACACTACCCCAGTCCCACACTGTCTATTTTTGCTTTCCCTTTATTACTCTCTAGTTCTAAGCCAGAAATTCTCGTACTTAACTATGCAGAAAAATCAAATGAGACTTTTGGCTAAAATTCAGATTCCAGGGCTCTGGGGAAACCCAGGATTCTGATTCAATGATTCTGGGTGAATTATTAAATCTGAATTTTTGAAGACTTACATATAGGAGAATCCAAGTTGGCTGCATAGGTAAACACCTAGCCGCAGATGCACACAACAATTTCAATAAAATACAACTAAAATATAAAATGGACATTACCCAAACTACAGGAAAGTCGACTGACTGGAAATTCTACAACGAGAAGCAAGGAGAAAACCAGAAGGAAGAGCGGAGGAGCTGTAAAAGCCTAAGGTATGGAGACACGCAGCGTGCGCAGAGAGGATGGAGCCGGAGAGGAGGGGGAGGCTGAGTTCCTGGCTGGCATTCCCTAGCAGGAAGGAGATAAAAGCTCCGAATGTGCTGGGCCCCAGTTCCGACTGCTCTGAACCCCAGTTCTAGGCCAGGGAGCCGGGGCTGTGAGGCGGAATCCCAGGGGAGCGGCGAAAGGCAGAGCCCCCCACTGCTTGCGCGCAGTGGACGGACTGTTGACTCTGCTGATAGATTGCCCTGGCGGGAAGGAGAAAAAGGCTCCGGACTGTGCTGGGCCCCAGTTCCAACTGCTCTGAACCCCAGTTCTAGGCCAGACCCCAGGACCCAGGCTTAAACAGAGGGAGCTGGGCTGCAAAACGGAACCCCAGAGGAGCGGTGAAAGGAGGTCTGGGAGGCGCGCACATTGTGCACAGAGAAGGGATGGTTGGCTGTGCCATGGGATTGCCCTGGTGGGAAGGAGATGGGGGCTCCAGACTGCTCTGAACGCCACCTCCAACCCCACTTCCAACTGAACTAAACCCCAGTTCAGGGCTCATTGGGGGAAAGCCTAGACTGTTTGGTAGCAGGCGAAAATCGAGGGCACCTTTCTCTCAAAGGTGCTTTCAGCGAGTACTGAAGGACCCTGAGGAATACTGAGACTCAGGAGCCACATTGGGTGTGGCGGACAGAAGCCAAGCCTGTAGGCTCCACCCTGAAACTCCGCCCCATCAGGGAAGCTGCAAAAATGCGAAGACAACGAAATAGATCACAAACAAAAGAAATGGAGGACAAAAAGTGATTGGATATAGAGTTCAAATCTACGCTTATAAGGTTTTTTCAAGAATTTCCTAGAAAAGATGGATAAGACCTATGAGGATATGAAAAGGGATCAACTAGAATTAATAAGGAGTCAACAAAAAATGATAAGGGATCAACAAGAAATAAAGAATACATTGTCTGAAATAAAAAATATTATACAGAGTCCTAAAAACAGAATGGAAGATTGCAAGAATCAAGTCAAAGAGTTGGAACATAAAGAGCCAGAAGACACTCCTCCGCAGAAGCTAGAAGGCAAGAGAATCCAGAAAATTGAAGAAAATGTAAGAAACCTCTGGGACAACTTCAAGCGAACCAACATCAGAATTATGGGGGTCCCAGAAGATGAGAGAGAGAGCAAGATATCAAAAACACACTGAAAGAAATAGTGACAGAAAACTTCTCCCACCTGATGAAAGAATTAAACTTACAAGTCCAGGAAGCACACAGAACTCCAAACAAAAGGAATCCAGAGAGGACCACACCAAGACAAATCATAATTAAAATTCCAAGAGCAAAAGATAAAGAGAGAATATTAAAAGCAGCAAGAACAAAGCAGGTAGTTACCTATAAAGGAGCACCTATACGATTGTCAGCTGATTTCTCAAGAGAAACTATGCAGGCCAGATGGGAATGGCAAGAAATATTCAAGGTGATGAATAGTAAGAACCTATAGCCAAAAATAATCTATCCAGCAAAGCTATCACTCAGAATCGAAGGCCAGATAAAGAGCTTCACTAATAAAAAAAAGCTAAAAAAGTTCATCACCACCAACCCAAAATTATATGAATTGCTGAAGGGGGTTCTTTCGGAAGAGAAAGTAAATAAAGATAAAAATTATGAACAACAAATACGTAACTATCAACAAGTGAATCTAAAAACC